CTCGAATCAACGGGCAAGGAAGGGGTCCCATTTCTCAGGTTCTGGGCCGTTTCTCATGGTTTTTCCTTCTTTAGTGTACCACTCACCATCGCTAACTTAATTTGAAATGGGTTGCCTTTCCAGCGTGAATTCGTCCTTTAAACGGACCCTGGAAAAAGGTCGCACGGAGATAGTTCAGAAATTCTTCGCACTTTCGATAAGCAACGTGCTCTTTAGAAAACGGTGGCGTTTGCAGTGCCTTCACTTCAGACATTGGTGGACGCAGAATAAAGACGATTGAAATAAAAAAAGTTTTTTGGAGAGAAGTTTTTTGGAAATGAAATAGCTCCAAAAGCCGAGAATACCTTTCGTTATGTTGCACCACTCCACAATTCGTTTCTCCCCTCCCCTTGAATGTATCTTCTTAGACCGAGGGCGTCCCTTTTTAGGCTTCCAGGCCTGCGCAAGGTGGAACGCACATCCTTCCTTAAAGGCTCTCGGAAAAATCTTTTTAGCTACTGTTAGAGCTGCCTTTTTGAAACAAGTGTTACCCGTTGCGGTACATTACCCGTGATATTTTGCGGTACATTACCCGTGATATTGATTTTCAGATGATCGAAAACTTTCACATAAACCTCCTCTGTTTTCTTCGACGTGATAGTAAAGCAGCGGTAACTCAACTAGTTGCGAACACACGCCATGCACACAGTAGAGTTGTGCATGGCTCCCCAACGATTTAGGATGCAGTGAATGCACCCCATCCGCATTGTAATCAGCCGAATACCTTTGACAGGCAGGGATAGCCGACTGGTTAAGAGGTTAGACTCATGTGTGCACCACAGGCCCAGACTGACAGGCCGGCTGATGAACACCCCAGTCACACCAATATGTCTAAAAGTCGCAAAAGAATCAGTGTTAAAGCTAGGACGTCACCCGGAAGTGGCGCGCAGAACCCCGCCCGAGTTCAGTATGCGAGGGCTACCGAGGAGTGAACGGCCTCGGCCAAAGAAGCTAGTTCGAATAGGGACTCTGAACGTAGGATCGCTAACTGGGAAGTCCCGAGAGGTTGCTGATCTGATGACGCGCAGGAATATCCAAGTCCTATGCCTTCAGGAGACGCGATGGAAAGGTGCTAAGGCCAGGGAAATCGGGGAAGGTGTCAAACTCTACTACAATGGAGAAGACACCAAGCGGAACGGTGTGGCCATAGCGGTAGCGGAGTCGCTCAAGGACTATGTCTCCGCTGTGAACAGGATCAGCGATCGGATCATGGCTGTGAGGATAGACACGAAGGAGGGGTACTGGACCATACTCTCCGTGTACGCACCGCAAGTGACAAGGACGAGTTCTATCTCAGCCTTGACGATGCCATAAGAACGATTCCGGAAGGTGATACCTCACCATAGCAGGTGATCTGAATGGTCACGTCGGCAGTGAAAGAAGAGGCCTGGAAAGGGTGCACGGAGGTAGAGGAATAGGAGAGGAACGCCGAGGGAGAGAGGGTCCTGGACCTGGCTACGGCCCACGATCTGGCAATCTGCAGCACGTTCTTCGCGAAAAGGGAGACTCAGAAGGTCACCTACAGCAGTGGAGGGAGACAAACGGAAATCGACCATGTGCTGGTAAAAGATCATCCCTCAGAACTGTGAAGGATATCAAGGTACTCCCTGGCGAAGAACTGGCTCCCCAGCACAGGCCCCTCCTGGCAGACATAGCCATAGACCTCCCAAGAAGACAAGGGTAAGAACCGAGAGGAGAATCCGGTGGTGGAAGTTGCACCGAGCAGAGAAGAGTGACCTCAAACGAAGGATAATGGAAGTTGGTCTCCAGATCCTGAGGGACCAGTGCAGCAGACTTGGGGCAACGCAGCTGAGATCATCCTACGATGCGCCAAGGAGGTACTGGGCGAGACGCGAGGTGGATTCAGAGGAGACAAGGCAGCGTGGTTCTGGAACGAGGAGGTCCAGCGAGTCGTGAAGCAGAAGAAGGAAGCATACAAGCGCTGGCAGAAGACCCGGAGCCCCGAAGACCTACGCCAGGAGCTTGCAAGAGGCTCGCTCCAACCGGCCAAGAACACAGAAGACCGGACGTCTTGTGCGAGAATTTTGGAAAGCAGAAACGCAGAGAAGTTTCGTCTTCAGACTGGCCAAAGCCCGGCATCGGGCTACTCAAGATATCAGGGTGGTGAAGAGCGTGAAGAGCAACAACGGCGCCATACTGAGGAAGCCAGCCGAAGTTCGGAGGAGGTGGGAAGAGTACTTCAGAGGTCTTCTGAACGAGGAGTTCTCCCACAAGAACAACTCACGGGCAGAGGCCACAGCTGGTCCCATCGCACTCTGGACAGAGGATGAGGTTCGGTGTGCACTTGGGAAGATGAAGGTTGGAAAGGCAGTTGGTCCGGATGGAGTACCCATAGAGGCTTGGAAGGCGCTGGAGAGCACGGGGTAAGGTGGCTCACCCGCTTCCTGAACACGGTAACTGCCGAAGGAAGGATGCCGGATGCCTGGAGAACAAGTACTATCGTCCCCATCTTCAAGCAGAAGGGTGACGCGATGGACTGCTCCAACCGCGGTATCAAGTTGACTGCGCATACCATGAAGTTGTACGAGCGCCTGGTCGACTCGAAACTGCGGGAGCTGGTCCCGATCTCCCAGGAACAGTTCGGGTTCATGCCCGAAAGGTCTACAACGGATGCCATCTTCATCGCTAGGCAAGTGATGGAGAAGTATCGAGAAAAGCGCCGACCCTGCTACCTAGCCTTCCTCGACCTGGAAAGGCGTTCGACCGGCTACCGCGAGCAGTGCTATGGAGGTCGCTCAGGGAACGAAACGTGCCAGAACACCTGATCTCTCTGGTGAAGGACATGTACGAAGGAGCCAAGGCAGCTATACGCACCCCACACGGCCTAACGAAGGAGGTGGACATCACGGTCGGGGTGCAGCTCTGAGCCCGTTCCTCTTCCTCCTAACACTAGATGTCCTGGTGAAGGGGCTCATGGAGGGACCACTGAAGACCATCCTCTACGCTGACGACATCGCCCTGATAGCGGATAGCAGAGAGGAACTTCAAGGTGCAGAATGGCAGAAAGTCCTGGCAGAAGGTGGGCTACGGCTGAATGTCAAGAAGACCAAGTTCCTGAGCTCCGAAGAGGGTGCAGAGCCGATCGTGGACGGCCATGGTGAGACCATCGAAAGAGTGGAGGACTTCCGATACCTTGGGAGCGATCTGGCAGCCGACGGTAGTGTGGATCAGGCGGTGAAGGCTCGGGTCAACGCTGCATGGATGAAATGGAGGGAGTCCACTGGAATCCTCTGCGATCGAAGGTGCTCCAGAGCGCTCAAAGGGAAGGTGTACCGGACAGTGGTAAGGCCTGCGATGCTCTACGGCAGCGAGTGCTGGCCCCTGAACAAGAATCACGAAAGGCAGCTTCACTCTGCCGAAATGAGGATGCTGAGATGGGCCTGCGGCTGGACGCGGCTGGACAGGTCAGAAACGAGGACGTCAGAGCGGTCATGCAGACTGCCCCTGTCCAGCTGAAGGTACGGGAACAGCGTCTGCGATGGTATGGGCATGTGCTAAGGAGGCCACAGGACCATCCGATAAGAACAGCGATGGACTTCGAAGTACAAGGCAAGCGACCGCGAGGAGCCCCAAAGAAAAGGTGGACGTAATCAAGAAGGACCTAAGTGAGGTCACGGCCACGATGGAAGATGCCCTGGACAGAGCAAAGTGGCGACGCTGACAAAAACAGCGGACCCTGCGACTGCGCGGGACCAACGCTAGGGCGACTAGCATACTTTCAGATTACTCGTTGTTTGGCTTGATAGCCTGTGCGCCGAACTGCAGCCTTGACGTTGCCTTCCAGTTCATCCAATATAGAATAGGATGAAAATCCATAGAAATCTGAAATAAGTGAAGTACCGCACAAAGTACCATTGTCAACTTCGAACGGCACCGCCACCGAATCGAGAAGAACTCTAACTAGCTTCTTCTTTGCGCATGCAGGATCACGCCGGATGTTTTGGTGCTCTTACAAAACCATGGCTTGAGTATAATATCACCTCATATTCGGTTTTAACGTCGTTCCTTAGCTTGTATACATGCCTGTTTCCTACTTCCTCAGCTTATCTTTGTGAATTTTGCTTTCGCGGTGAATCTCGCATGAATCGGATAGGACTTCCCAGTCCCAGTCACTTGAATAATACTTGAAGAAGAGAAGGGTTAGGGAACTGTATTTCAGATCTGTTCGCCATCTTTGATACATCACACACTCTCCACGTCTTCTTCTTTTCTTCACACAATGGACGCAACTGTAGTTGACACAGTTCTTACTCGCGTACACTCGGTAGAACGTAAATAAACGCGTCGTTCCTGGAATTTTGTAAATCACTGCATCATTCTTCCCTCTCTAGCTCCTGCTTTTCACCATAGTATCTTTGCACAACTTGATGCTCTGAGTCGAGGGAAGTTGGTGCGTCGAATGTGCCTGGAATGAGAGAATCTGAAAATTCGGAAGTCAGGGAGCCTGCAGGTGTAGTAGCTGAGTAGAGTGAAGGTGCGGGCGTAACGCTAGGGGGAGCAGGACTCCGAATTTGATGCAAAGGGGGCTGGTACGAGGTTATTGAGAGGCGGTGCTGGAGAAGAGAATGTTGGTCCTGAAACGGAATAGGTGAGAGCCACGGATGAGCTGGAGAACGGAATGAACAAGGCTGAAGCGAGGTCGATGAAAGTGGTGAAGGAGTCAGAGAGAAGGAAATGGCGCGTTAAAACGAGACTGATGTGTGCAGGGGAGAGCTGGAGAAGAGGTTGTAAGACGCTGAAGCGAGGCCAATGAAATCGGCATAGGAGCTTGAGAAGGGGAAGTAGGATGATGAGTAGAAAGAAATATAGATGAAAGTTGGGCTGGTATTGTGGGAGTTGGTAATGGTGTTAAATTGGCATATAATAGAGGAGCAGCCACTTGCGTGGTGTGGTGATAAATACTGTTCGATTTGTAACCTCAGAAGTGTAAGGAAGAAGCCATCTACGATGTATTAGTCATGAAATATGAGGGAGCATGTGCTTTCATAGAAGTATCTTGGAGCTCACTCATCGGTAAACTGTAGTACGACTAAGTGAAGTTGAAGCCTGGAGTCATGCTCGTGCAAAGACAAACACTCACGGAACGTGCTTTGTGACGCCTTCAAGCACATGTTTATATACCTAATTACATGGTCTCTTAATTGAGTGCTAGGTCCACGAGGCCGAAAATTCCTAAAGAGCGGTCATGCCTTTCAAGCTAATTTTTTCTTTAAGCGATTTCCAAGTTGTTGATTCTGACATCAAAAAGTATGAGTTCTGTCTTTGCTGTCACAGGCAGCATTGAGGGAGGACCAGGCATATTAGAGTAACCCTTAATTGGCTTACCGTACCGTATACAGTCATATTCTAAGTTCACACACCCGGAGCATGACGATCCCTGGTAGTATTCGAAAGCTTATTCGGGCAGACGGCATGTGAGAAACAAACTCCGTATTTCCAAATCTTCACGACTCTTCGGGATGCATACATTCCATCATCTTAACAAGTCGGACATGCTCTGACAAAAGCGACTAGTTTGTCCAGATCCAATCTCAGTGGCGCTGGGTAGAGCAGTGAGATTGCCACTTGAGGGGTAGTTGGAGTGTGGGTCATCTTCAAAAAAAGCTAACCTCTTGGATTAGAGTGAATCACAGGTGCATCGTGAATTGAGAGAGCGCGCCCCACCCTATCTGCTAACTGGTTTCTTATTATGTTGTTCGGTTTTTGAACGGGTACTGATGAAGGAGGGAGCTCAAAAATAGGTTCTACAAAATGGAGTAATACCACGAAAGCCAGCTTGTAAATGGGCTTACTATGATACTTGGGATGGTAAGAAAGTCCTGAGCCGATTTTTTGAAAGCTCCAGAACTTTCGCTTATTGATCGATACCTAGAATCTGCTACGTGATAGATTATCGCTGTCGATCATACTTCTCCGCAGTAGGTATATATTGCCGGGTTGCCTTCTTTAACTTTAATCATGATGTCGATTCCACAAGAGCACTTTCGAGCGATCATCTTCAATGAATGGCGCTGCGGCACAGGAGCAGTGGGAACCGTCAACATTATCAGCAGCGCATTGGGAAGGGACTCCTTTCCAGTCAGCTTCTGGTTTATGTATGCTATACGAAGTTATGTCAACGATATCCCACATAATCAGACCGTCTTAAGATAGGCGTTTGAGCTCTATCAACATTGTGTGTGGGTAAATCCACTTTCTCGCGCGCGAGTTTCAGTATAAGGTACTAAGGAGACGTAGGACCGCTCACAATGCCTCTCAAGAGTCGATAAGACTAACACGCAATCTCACACAATCTGCTACTCTCTGTGCCATCCTTAATGAAGATACCCATTTCCACTGCTTAATAGCGGCAGCGAAGTGTGATAAGTGCTACGATCATACTCGAATGTTCCCTTCGATTGCTTGACGAGAGATCTCGATAGCAGAACGTGCAGGCTCGCAAGTAACCACGGTGTGAACGACATCTATCGGCAGTTTCCTACTTCTTTGTTCGCACCGAAATGAGTTTTTGGAGCAGGCAGCAAATCTTGCTGTTACGGGGAGATGAGAGTTGGCAATGGTCCTCACTCGTTCAAGTGAGTGTTACTAGTCTTATCAGAGCTCTGAAATGGTTCGCGTGCTAGGTCTATCAATATGTGGAGAATAGCAGGAAAGCAAATTGGACTATTCATCTACACAATCTGCTCTATTGTGCTGCACTCTGAGTACTATCAAATTAAAGGAATAGTTTGTATTATTGATTGAGCCTCTATCACATAGAAACTATAACAGATTCGCTGTCGAGGCAGTGATACACGCGCGCATACAAGCCGTGCAACTATAGCGGACTCTCTCACTGTCGTGAGCTAGAGAATAAAACCGAAGCTCCGAGGAGATTCATTTTTCTCGCTTCTACCTCTCGATTGACAGTGAACATCGGGCGTCTTGCGCCACAGCGCCACCAATTAAGCATATATACAGCGAGCTCCGGATCTCATGTCAAATATGAGAAAAACAGGGAGATATCGTATAAAGAGCTAGGGATGATTGTTTGATCGCCTTAAAAGCTATAACCCTGCGCACATTGCGCGCTTAACTTCTGTTATCATTATTATCATCCTCATGTACATTTTAGCAAAGAAGAGAAATTCACAAGTTTGAGAGTAATGCAGCGCCGTCAGCGATTTCTTTTTGACTCTCAATCTGCTCAACTTATGGGAGGAATGGCGCAGTGTCGACGACTGACTCCAGTAGGGGATCTTCACTACGGTAACCATGCTGTGGGTGAGATTCTTAATATTGGTGAGTAGATTACATTTACGCGAATAAAAAGTAAAGCAAGATGCACATTTTGATGTAAATGCAAGGAGGCTCGTCAACGCGAAACTATTGCCTTCCATTCCTAATACTTTCTCAACCGATCCCTTATAATAGGGCAAGTAATAGTATGCTATTGGTACCTGAAAATACTGGATATTGGCTCGATCTCTTATATGCTCTTACGTATCCAAGATTCGACTGACTCGATGTCATAGAGAAAGATTGGTTGGGTCTCTGATTGCAGCGACACGCTGCCCATCACGTAATCATAATGAAATAGAGTATAAATGCTCATCTTTGTCTGCAGAGACAGAAGTACGCGGGTGGTGTGTTCTCAGCAGTCATCGATATATTGATAACTTCTGACAAATTTGCGACGCCTGTTTGAATTAAGATTTATTCCGCTATAAGAATAGAAACACTCTCGCTTCATTGATGATTGAGTGTGTAGAAGACATACCGTATTTTGACGGCCACCTTCGTCTATATTTAATTTTATAAGTATATTACACATGCGATTGTGAAAAGTCATGTCTCATGGGAATGTTGCAAATGTCGGCTCAGATGTGGATGTCAGTCTATTAATATTTATCTCTCTATCTACTATCGGTAATTTGAACTTACCGGTACTCTTACACTAGACGATAAATTTCTGAATGATGTGATATCACAGGACATAGTAGAACCTCGCGTAATCGTAATGCATGATACGCATAATGTCTCCTTCGAAGACACTATCTCTCAGCATAATATTTGTAATACCATCTTCAGGAACGGCGATTCATGCACCAATTTCGAATTTTTCGCTAACTCAAACCTCAGTGGTATTATGTATATTTCTGGTCATTCTTTTTATCTATACTTTATGTGCTCTCTAAGAGGCTCGATCACTCATACTTTTTAATTATTAGTTTGACTATTATAACAATGGGCAGAAACTTCCCCGGTTCCCCGGATCATTGTGGACACTATTTTAAAAACAGAAGATCTTCAGAATCATAAAAATTGCTGCAAAGATCCCGTGCAAACAATCACTAATGCTTATCAATTCATTATCGATGAATTCACTCAGTTTACCTAGGTGCTTTCTCGATACATCGTAGTTCGTTCCAGAACTGACTTTCGGCGGTTAGGATAAAGTAATTCACAGCATATGCATATCTAAGTAAAGAGGTGCTAAAATGGGCTCTACAAGAACCGTTGAGAGTGAGTCATTAATCGTTGATGAGACGCCTACAAGCATCTCACGCTGAACTTCTATCCGGTCTAGATATAAATGCTTCTACGAAACGTGAGTATGTTGTTTCATAGAGAAGCATTCGGTACGCGTGAGAGCGTATGTCCAAAAAATTACATCTTGAATCTGCGCGTTGTCAATCATTTCCAAAGTGCCGACAAGGCTCATGGCTGAAGCATATATAATAGTCACCAGAGTTTTTAAAGGAAGCTGAATACGCAAGATCTCAAAGTTGCTCAACACGGCGCACGTTAATCATAACCAGTATTTTTCATTTTGTGAGTGACTAGCAAATAATCGCAGCTTTATCTGTGATTTTCTAAAGGACTTTGGAGAACAGAGTTGTAAGGAGAAGTTGCTACG